TGACTAAGAAGAAGAGGTTATGGTTTTTCCCTTTGTCCCTATCTCATTGATAAGAAGAATTGACAAAGATCAAAACCTAGATTTTGCAACATTGAAGAATATTGCTCTTGTCTCAAGCATACATTGTCTTAGCTCTCTTATCACGAAGACCTAGACCACAAGGGACCTGCTCTTATCATTGAAGTTGTTTTTTCATTCCTTGTTGTTGAGTCTTTTTTTGTGTGCTAATATTGTAAACCTACTCTTCTTAATGAAGCTTGTGTAGGTATTGTGTCATCTCTTTTCTTTTAGATTCGAGTTGTTGGCCAGTGTTAGCCATAGTTTACATGGGGGAGGGATTACGAGTTTAATTCCTACATTGCATGAGTTTGTAATTCGAAATCTGGCTTGTGTTTAGTGAAAATATTGGTGAAATGCTACTTGGTAGGTTGTGATTTTTCCTTCCTTGAGCAAGATGATTTCTACGTCAACATCTGGCGTTGCTTTACTTTCTGCTATGTAGATTGTTCTGTTTTTGTTCTAAGTTGTTCTCAGTTATGGACCCAAGTTGATTCCTATGAGCTAAAAATCACCTAACAAGTTGTAGCTTCTTTAAGTCAGTATTTTCTGTAAGTAAAGCCCAATGTTACAGTCTTTAATCATATCGTAAGAATATATGCAATCTGGTCATGAATCAAATATACTAAACCCAAAGTTCCTTTTTCAGGAAAAGATGATGAATAAAGTTAAAATCGATCTACATATGTTTGGTGCGAGAGTGAAACACCAAGTTAGCGGTAAGATAGGTCTCACTAAAATTTTGACACCACAAGAGAGACACAGAACAAGAAGAAAAGACCAATTTCTTTCAACAATAGACTAATCCATTGAATTTTATTGGTGGAAGCAGCAAGAGAGAGATATTCGGCCTCAGTATTAGAGAGCGAGAGATATCGTTGTTTGCGAGAACACCAAGAAACAAGCGTTGAACATAAGAAAATTTCAAAACCAATAGCAGAATTCCGATCATATATACTTTCTCCCAAATCGGCATCATAATATCCTAGTAATTGGTGAGATTTATTGTTTGGAAAGACAATACCATGAGAAGAAGTTGATTTCAGATATCTCAAGATACGCTTAACTGCTGCCCAATATTTTTGTGTTGAACTATGCATGAACCAACAAACATTATTAATGGAGAAGGAGATATAAAGTCTAGAGAAAGTGAGATATTGTAAGCCGTCGACAAAACTTTGGTAAAGGCTTTCATAAAGAAATTGAGTATTGCCACTAGTGTGCTACTTGTTACTCGGGCACATGAGAGTAGAAATATCACCGCAAGTTAAGATATTACTATATTCCAAGAGATCATGTTTATATTTAGAATGGTGTAACAACAATCAATTATATCTCCATGTAGCTTCAATACCCAAAGATTAATTAAGCTTGCCCAAGTTGCGCAAGGAGAAGGGAATTTCCAAATGTTGAAGCAATGATGAAACTAGATGTATAGACATGTCTAATACTATAATGTCATTAACATAGATAATTTTTTTTAAGATATTTTGCACCCGTGAATCTAACGAAGAGTGAAGAATCTGTTTTAGAGCCATGGAAACAATGCTCATACATTATATCAACCAAACATTTATTCCACAGTCGAATAGCCTATTTAAAGCCATAAATAGAACTCTCTAGCTTGCATCTATAATTAGGGTGATTGGGGTAAACAAAACATGGAGGTTACGTTGAAACATGTATACATCTTCCTCTAGCTTACCATGCAAGAACGCACTAAATATATCAAGTTGATTAACAATCCATCCTTGTGACATGACAATACTCGAACAGTTGTAGGTTTGACAACAGAAATGAGAGTATCATCAAAGTCAATTCCAGGGCATTGATGGAAACCCTTGGAAAATAATCTAGACTTATGTCGTTCATTGGAGCCATCTGGATTTTTCTTCGTCTTAAAAATTAATTTACAACCAAATACATTCGCAACTTGATGAGGTGGAACCAACTTCCATGTACTAGTTGTTATGAGTGCATTAAATCCTGCGGACATAGCAGATCATCTCCATTGAGGAATTTTAATATTGTGAGTATAACATGTGGGGTCAAGACCAAGGTTAGAGGAGCTAAAGAAAGTCTGAATATGTTTGGGATTAAGATTTCCTTTATACGCTCATGTAAGCATTTGATTACTGCGAATGGGTGTGACTAAATCTAATGAAGTAGCACCACTAGAATTAGAGTCACCTGGATAGTCATAAACAACAACACCAATCAAAATGCAAAGGTATTGAACATATCATGTTAGAATGTACCAAGTGAAACATGAGAAGCATGTGATGGAGATGTTGCAGGAGAAAAGTAAGGAGAGGATGGCAGATGAGTTAAGGTTGCGACATTGGTGGATGCAAGGGTGTAGCTAGACCCATATGAGCAGTAGTAATAACAAGAAATAGGTTTGTGTTAGGCTTACTGGATGCAGCGCACACACCATCGACTTCTTGAAAATGGAACACTTATTCATCAAATAACACATGAAATGAAACAATAAAATTGTTAGAGGACATAATTTATTTTGTGAATAAGGATGAAGCCAATGGTAGCACAAGGAACCAAAAACACATAGTTGATTATAATCATGCTTTTCACCAAGCAAAATTTTACACGGACTTTGATGATTTAATGGAGGAGTGGGCAGAAGATTAATTGGAAAAACAATCGTTTCAAAAGCATTTGTCCAAAAATTAGAACGAACATGTGAGTTAAAAAGAAGTGCACAACCAGTTTTAGTGACATGCCTATGTGTTCTTTTTGCACACCCATTTTGTTAAGGAGTTTATGGATAGGAAACACGTCGTGTGACTCCATGTGTGTGCACATAAGAAGTCAAGGCTTGAAACCACCTCCCCAGTATGCTTGAAATCGTTTAATGGAGCAACAGAAGATTTCTAACACAATAAATGAAATTGATGAAAAATATCATGAACATTAGATTTATTCTCAACAATATATATCCAAGAGTATTTGCTAAAGCGATTAAAAATTATAAAACAGTAACGAAAACCATCTCTTCAGATTTCTGAGGCTGGACCCCAAATATCATGCAAATCAAATCTAAAGGACCACAAGAATAATATCAAACAGTGAGAAAGGAAAATTACTAATTTAACTCTTTAAACAAGCTTGACACAATAAACTACGACAACTGCAAGAGCTATCAAAACCTAAACTATTATTAGAGACTAAGAGATGAACTGTAGAAGGAGAACCCAATTCTAAAAAAATGGATTTAATTGGTTTTCACCAAGAAATATTTCTGTAATTGGTTGAGTGCTATCCAGAATGAATGAAAAATATTTGAACAAAAAAATCAATTTTTTTTTACAGGAAAGTGAAATATCAATTATTTATTATTGCCTATTCAAAATAGGATCATTGGCAAGGGAATATACACACATATATATATATATATATATATATATGCATTAGAACCTTAATGACGACACTTAAGTGCACATTAAGTGAGGTGAAGCGCTCATCACATTTTGAGTGTCGCTTTACAGATTAAGCACTCTTAAAGCGAGCCTTTGACAACACTACATGTAGCTAGGTGTAGCATAATAAACTAGATAATGTTTAATATATTCAATGCAAGTTACAGGGATATGTAGGATCAGTTTGTAAGAAATCGCGGACTGTGTACTATCTATGAAATATGGAATATGTACCATTTTTCAAGCCAGAAAAACAAATAACTAAGCGCAATACGTTAAAACATTGCTAAGTTACAAATATGATTAAAAGCCCTTTCTCCTAACAATATACAAAATCAAAATGTAAGTTTACTTCCACAACTCTCCTTCAATTATAGTGATCTAAAATAGTATCCGTAAAATAAAAGATTAAGAAGTAAAATATATTGAGAACAATGCCTCTGTGATCAATTCCAATTCTTTGACACTATCCATAGGAGCAAATGCATATCCCTGCGCAAGGCACAAAACATGTGTCAAATGGTATTATGTGGCATTGCACTTGAACATATAGATGCATATGCAATCCCTGTAAGCTATATGTGTCTATAGCAGCTTTAGAAGAATAAGTAGGAAAACTAAGCAACATATCTGGCTAAAAGTGTTGAATTTCAGCACAAACATTTTAGATTAGCTAAGAGAAAAACTGAATCATATATAACATTACTGTTAGTAAGATGCATATTTTGGAGAAATAAGAGAAGCCGCACAAAGTTTAGGATTTTTTTGTAGAACTCAAGAATAGTTTGGGAAATAAAAATAGAATTTAGCAAATTGATCAGAATTGCATCTGAGTAATCACTTATGTGTGATATATATATGGAAATAATATGAACACTTCAAAGTACTTATCAACTAATTAAAAAAATGAAAAGGCAGATCATTCACAATTCATAGATAGTGCATTAAATTACAACAAAAGAATAAAATATATAGTAATATATTGTCATTTCATTTCATATTCGAGGAAGGGAAAGAAACTCAACAAACTAACTATTGTGATAATTGTTTTTACATTTTTGTGCATTAATTAAGAATAGTTAATATGGTTTTTGAACATTTGAATTTGAATCTTCCAACTTTTAGAAAACAATAGATAGATAATACCAGCCATCATTGATATTCATATCTGTAGCAATACGCCTTGACAATTACACAATCAAGCAGGTAGCAACAAAAATTGTTATTTCGGTGTTTTGAGAAATTAGATAATTACGACAGTCCGTTGTGAGATTAATTAACTCATGATTCAAAGAAGAGTCAAAACATCAAGAAACATGACAGAAGAATTACCATCACAAAACCCTATAGGACAAGTAAACTGTTTTTTATATTACTCGACTAGGAAAAAAAACCATTCATAAAACTCTATGGTTCCTACTAAACCAAATACAAGGAACAAATAAATATGATGCAAAATGAATAAGAAACCAATACCTGAGTACGACATCATCTCAGAATACTGTATCAAGCGATATAGTCACTACCCTCAGTTTCCTTGCCAATCATAGGAGAGACAAGACTCTCCATGAAAGTTCTAATTCTTATACACTTAGAAGTTATTCCATCAACATTCATCTCTCTTTGTTGTTCCTTTTTCTTATTGTAGATAATCAACTTCGCTTTCCCAGGCGCAACTAATATGATGTCATCATCACTCATTAAACACACGGGTGTGGGACAAAAAGGGAAAGTATTTTTTACAACACTAAATTTGGTCCACGACTCCACAACCCCATATTCTTTCACCATCCAAACATCAATTTCATATTCATTTCTTCTATTACCCAATACACAAAGATACCCTTTAAGATCCACAATTCCATAAAAGCACAAAAGAGAAGTTGTAGTAATGGTAGGTATAGGCACCTCGAAGAATTTCTGATCAGTTAGATTAACAGTAACAATTACAGATGGAGAACAATAATATTTACCAGCCAGCCAATGCAAAGTCCCATTTAGGAAAACCCCAAAATCGTGAATAGGACTTGCACCATTATGAGATATACTCTCAAGTCTCCTCAAAAAACCTATTCTCGTGGAGTAGACATCCACAAATGTACAGAAAAGGTCACCTTCAAGTACACCTCTATAACAAGAAAGAGTAGTAACCTTATAATCATCACTAGCAAAATCATACCCAAGGGCATACGCGGTAGAAGTACCACACTTTGGAAGATCCAGAGGAGAGTTTGGAATTCTATGATATTCTAAGGTTGTGGGGTTGATTAAAAATGCAACATCTTCCTCATTCAACACCAATACCAAGCCATTACATGAACCAACAATTTGTTTCTATTTACCCTTAAAACTAAGCTCGGTTGAAATTGCATCAATTCCATTTTGGGGGTTAGGGTTAATATGAAGAGAGTAAAGACATTGAGAAACATCAGAGATAAAAATGAGCTTAAATTTGTCATGTTTGTTGGATTGATAATTGAGGTAAGCTTTTATGAATTTTAGGTCTGAAAGAAAAGATCACCACTTCTTGGAAACGTGACGGAATTGACCTACCGATTTTACAGGCATCCAGGAGACTATCTCTTCTATCATTTCATCAGGCAACTTTCTACTCATCGCCATTTTTGGGTATTCTGGTTTTAAGGGTAATTTCTTGAGCAAGTTTTTCAAAATTTATCTTTTCATGTTATCTTTAAAAGTTACTCGGGTTGAAATATGTTGGGGCTATATTTTGATCATAACTTAATGGGGAACCTACAGAAATCCCATAAGTTTAGAAGTAAAATACATAGATTTTGGTGTGTCAAGATACATCCAGAAACATGTATCTTGGGATATATGAGGCCCAAATTAGGTGTAATTTATTCTAGATACATTGCATCCAAGTCAATTCGAATGTATCTGGAATACATAGAAAAATCTCAGTCACATCCCGTACATTTCTCCCATCTCGCTTGCCACTCTCCTATGTATCTGGCTTACATGTGAATCAAACCAGATAAATGTATCTTAGTGAGTATCTAATGTGATTCACATGTATCTAGCATACATGACTATCTCACTCGCCTTCTGACCTATGACGCTCACATCTCTCCCAATCAGTACTTTTGAAAGAACTTTTTGTAAAAGTTGCAGATACAAAAGTACAACTAAAAATTGTTTGATGAGAACTTCGAGTGCAAATAATTTTACTTACAAATTCTTAACACTTTTTTCTAGGTAAAAATCATGTTTATACATGATCCGACTAATTCTTATCCAACTTCAATTTGCAGCAGTTTTTTCTTCAACTTTAACAAAAATATATTGTCCAAATATGTCAAAGATGTGTTGGATAAACTAATTAACTATATTTACTTTTGCACCAAATTATAGTATCACTAATTTCTCGATGAATAATACACTGTATGGGGTAAAATCAGACTCGGCCAGATGTCCAAATAACGCGGCAACATGTAGCAAGTATAATTTTGGGACCACATTTCTCCAACATGGCCCCTCTAGTTTGGATAAAAAAAAATTTGGGTGTCGAGCCATTACTAGGTGATTAAACATAGAAAAGTTTCTTCTACGCAAATAATAAAAGGCATCAAGATTCTCGCTGGTTGATTCACAACTACAGAGTTAGTGGTCAAGAAAAAAACTACTAGAACAACGAACTATGCACAACTACAGAGTTTGACGATAATATTCCCTGCTCTCACAAGATGGGAAACTTTGATGTAAAAACAACCTATTAAATATGTACATAGTTATTTAGATTATCTTTTCATATAATGTTGACAACCTATTTATTTTCTTATTCTCCGTTTCATATTTTGTTTCCTTAAATCTTTATCATATTATCCTTTTGGGTTTCTTTACATATATAACAAAATCATAAAATATATTCAGTCTCTACATTTCTTTACAGATATCATCAAATTATCATTAATAAATTAAAAATATATGTGGACCTAATAATTGATGCACAACTTCTGCTATGGACTGTGCGAGTGGAGTTCAGATTCTTAAACTTTCTGAATCAATTTTTTAAATGGAAATTCACAAAGACTAGTACTGAGATGCAATTCTTAAATTTTGGGAATTTATGTAGATAAGGTGTCACGACCCGATCACTCGATTCATGATGGAACCTAGTCTTACCTAGTAGTAAGTTAGTCAATCCGTAACTCAGAACAACAAGTAACGACTATAAGGGTAGAAATAAAGTGTAAGTTGCAATGAAATAGCAGAAATAGAGGAATAGGTGGAAGCAAACTATATATATATATATATATATACTAGTCTCTAGGCACGTGCGTTGCACGTGTTTCCTGTGTTAATTAGTACAAAAACATTAAATGATATTGATGCTACTAAAACTTGCAAGTAATATTGAGTAACTAAATTTTGAAAGAGAAGTATAATTGTTTGTAGTTATACACAATCAATTGAATTGGTATATGTGATATTGTTCTTATATAGTTGTAATATATCTTATACTTGGTACAACACTTCCCCCTTTTTTTTTTTAATATTTCAACAATAAATAGTTCATATGTGATATAAGTAACGTTGATTATGCTTGCAAATGTTTAACACATCTTAAAGTTTGTATCCTGTGTAAGAAATTGCAACCTCCTCCTTTTTATAGACACATGCATATCAACAAGTTGTTACCAAATAAAAGTCGCATTTCATGTTGTACAAATACTGATCAACATATGTTTCTTTAAGGTGGATAATGTATCATTGTCAATTTCATGGAATACAGTTGAAAAATAGTGTTTATTTGTGATAGAGATAGTTAATAATTAGTGACATTAGAAAATTTAATTAATATATAAAATTCCAATTGCATGTACAACTTTCTTTGTTTGATTCAAGATTATGAGTCCTTTCATGTGTAAATTCGACAAAAATATAATAATTAAATTATTTAAATATAATCATATTACGGAATATAATATAATCAATCTATACTCACGAATAAGGAACTTGATAATAATGGTTGAAATATTTAAAATATCTTATTTAAAAATACGGGGTGTACATCTTCAAAAAAAGTATCCACTCAAAGGAATACTAATTTTGTATGAATCTAAAGTCTATATCATTTATACTACTAAAAAACTGTCATACATATCACAATTTTCCTACAAATTACATTATATTTTTGTGAGAACGAACCCTTTACTTACCTGATGATGTGAATGAGAAGTGAAGAATTCAAAATCGTAAAGTAAAAATATGAAACAGAAGAAAAATAAATAAGAATTAATAATTAGCAAAAATAAATCAAGAAAAAGATTTATATTAAAGAAAACAAATACAAGAAATATCAAGAACTATATACAGAGAGGATACAAAGTAAAGAAATGATAATAGATTACAATAAATATAGATTTAATGAAGTTAGATATTCATATTCCTTACTAAAGAGATTCCATGCATCTGTTGTACCATTCAATTTAATTTAGTTTAATTAAATATACGTCTTAGAAAACATACAATATCTTGATGCTTAGAAAACTGAAAATATCTTGATGCTTAGAAAACTGAAAATATTGGAGAAGGTGTAACTCATAACTAATGAATAAAAAAATTAACTTTTGTGTTGGATTAGTAGTTAATAATTAATTAATATAAATTATTTACAACATTTTAATTTAGTGTAGCGGCAAAATGGTAATCAAACTTTGATGCTTCCCACTTTTAATAATATATGATATATATATATATATATATAGTGGAAGTCACGAGTACAGAGCTACTAAACTAAAAAAGTACAAGGCTTATCTCAAAAATAAATAGAAAAGCCAACAAAATATAGATAGAGTTAGGTAAGTCTCGGACGCCATGTGCTCACCCTCACCTCTGAATTGAAGCTGCAACATGCTAGAATCTCTGCACTGGTAACTGATGCTCGGACCTGTATCATGAAATAGATGCAGAATGTAGCATGAGTACTTAAGAACAGTTACTCAGTAGGCTTCATAGGCCTATTAAGCAAGAAAAGTAAAAGCAAAAAGAAATGCTAGAATAAAAAACAAACAAAGTAAAAATAGTGGAATTTGAAAGAGATGCAGACGACTGTACTAAGAACAGAAAATAAGTATAACTAACTAAACCTACCTGAACCCCATAAGCCTAGAAATTACACTTTATACACAAGTTTATGTAAAACCCTGAACAAACCCCCCATTAGCCTAATGGGTACACAAAATAGCTATCAGTACTAAGAATGGGTTTGGGACAAACCTCTCGGTTTTTTATGCTCAACTTTCACTTGTTTACAATTAGGAAATTTATCCTCAAACTCTGCAATATCCTTCTTCATCCCACTCCACCAATATATTTCCCGCAAGTCACGGTACATCTTGGTGGCTCCCGGGAGAATGGAATATCGAGAACTATGGGCTTCTAACAAAATTTGTTCCCTTAAGTCATCCACATTAGGAACACACAAACGACCATGATATCTAAGCACTCCATCTCCCCTTTGGAGAGAGCCTCTAGGAATTTTTAAGCACCGCTTCCCTCAATTCAACCAAAAATTAGATCCAGACATTGCTTGGGTTTCACCTCCGCCACAAAGGACGATTCTGAACCATTGTGAACCATGACACCACCCTTGGCATAGTCTACTATCTGAACACCTAATCAGGCCAATCTATGAACATCTCGAACCAACTCCTTCTTATCCTCTTCAATATGACCAACACTACCCATAGATAGTTGACTAAGAGCATCTGCCACCACATTCGCTTTACTGGGCTGATAGAGAACACTCATATCATAATCCTTCAATAACTCAAGCCACCTTATTTGGAGAAGATTTAGGTGCTTCTGACTAAACACATATTGTAAACTCTTATAGTTGATGAAAACATCGACATGAACACCATACAAATAGTGCCTCCAAATCATTAAGGCAAAAACAACCGCCGCTAGTTCAAGGTCATGGGCAAGATAATTCTTCTCATGAATCATAAGTTGCCTTGAAGCATAGACAATAACTTTTCCATTTTGCATAAACACACATCCTAGCCCAATTCTTATGGCATTATAATAAACCACAAAACAATATGTCCCTTCCGGTAAAGTCAACACGGGAGCGGAAGTAAGTCTATGTTTCAATTCTTGAAAGCTCTTCTTAGATGCTTCGAACCATATGAACTTAGCCTCCTTTTGAGTCAAAGCCGTCAAAGGAGAGGCAATCGAAGAAAACCCCTCAACAAACCTTCTGTAGTAACCAGCTAAACCCAAAAAGCTTCTAATATCAGAAGGGGAAAGAGGTCTAGGCCAACTCTTGAATGCATCCATCTTCTTAGGATCTACCTCAATACCCTTACTTGAAACAATGTGACCTAGGAAAACCACAGACCTTAACCAAAATTCACATTTGCTAAACTTTGCAAAACGTTGTTGGTCCTTGAAATTTGTAACATGATCCTAAAATGATCAATGTGTTCATTATCACTGCTTGAGTAAATCAATATATCATCATTGAACACAATCACAAACATGTCAAGGTATTGTCTAAACACTCTATTTATCAAATCCATAAATGCCGCCAGAGAATTAGTCAACCCAAATGACATTACCAAAAATTCATAATGACCATGACGAGTTCGAAA